CAGCACCAAGTACTAAGGTAGTTTACTGACCTACTTCGTGAACCTTAACAGCCATATCTGAGATTTGTCAGCTTCGGTGTTGCCTTTGTCAAGCCTGGGTAACGCTACTTCCCCATCCGCAGGGGCTCGCACAGCGCAGCCGAGCGCTGCCGCCCAGCACAGAAGGGGTGCGAAGCCACGAGCATCAAATCTGAGGCAAAGTTGAGCCGAGCTGCTGCTATTTCACGAACCGAACGTGAAGTTTGGAGAACGGACCCCCGAACAGCTATCAGAGTATTACAAGATAACAAAGAGTGCAAAAGGATGCAGCCTGCGCCTTGTATCCAGCAACCAAAAAAAAAGGAGAGGGATTTAAATCATTTACGAAAACTGCACGAGCTGAAGAGGCTTTTCCTCTGATACCCCAAGCGCTTGGCGGTCCCCGCTGCACCGTGCCCGCTCTGAGCAGCAGCTCTCCCCAGAGATGTCCGATCCGGGCAAACTTACTCCGCAATTGCCATTATTCTTGGAGTGAGGCTCGGAGAGGGGAGCGGGGGGCTCGGGCTGCCGCACCCGCCGGCAGAACCACCCCGCAGGTGACTGGCGACCCGGCGGACGCCCCCGCTGCCCCCGCGGCCATTCTCTACGGGGCGGATCGCATCGCTATTTATAAAGGCGACGTGCGGAGCGAGTCGCCCCGGCCGCCACACGGTGCCCGCCGCGCCGGGGCGAGGACGGGGCGCCGCTGGGGAAGGGGGGCTCGCGCCTCCCCGCCGCTTTCCCACCCGCCTCAGCTCTCCGTCCTCCCGCGGAGCCCGGAGAAACGGAGCCTCCCTTCTAAAGGCACCCGAGGGAAGAGGAAACGGGTCTGCCTCCACAGCACCCCCTTCCCTGAAGTGCTCCCGAGCCCTTCCCGGGAGGGAAGGCACTCGCACGCCCGCGGGGCACGGACGCGGCGGCGGGCGCCGCTCCTTACCTGGTGCTGCCGCGGCCGCCGCTGCTGCCCGCGCTCCGGCTGCTCCGGCCGCGGGACCCCCATGCCCCCCGCGCACTCCGCTGCGCTCCGCTCCCCTCCCGCGGGACGCGCCACCCGCGGGGCGCCGGAGCCTTGCACGGAACCGGGGGCCGTCCGCTGGGGTGCTGCGGGGTGCTGCGGGCTGGCGTGAGCGCCGCTGCTCCTCCTCTCGTTCCGCCGCCACCCCTTCCTGGCGCTCCCCCGCGCTCCGCCCGGCGCTGGGTCTGGAGTGCGGCTCCGCCGCCGGACGGGAGGGCGGGGCGGCGGCGGGAGGGCGGGGGCAGCAGCGACACTCGCACCGCGCCCGCCGGCCCCGCACGCCCCCAGCTCCGCCCGCCCGCCGGCCCCGCCTCCCGCGGCTCCGCCGGCGCGGCCCCGGGGGACCGCCGACTCCGCATTGGCCACCGGCGCTGTCGCGCATCCCAAACCCCGCGCCCCGCCTGACACCGCCTCCCCCGCCGCCTCTCGCCCGCCGCGGCGGGGCGCGGACGGGGATCCCCGGGGCTCCGCGGGGCTCCGCGGGGACAGGCGGCCAGCTCGGGATCGGAAGCGAGCAACAGGTGGGGTGAGGGACGCAGCGAGGCAGAGCATGGGAGGCCCCTGGAAGGGCCCTCCCCGGCAGCGAGCCGGTGAGCGCCCGGTCCTTCAGCTGGCCCGGGCCCCCCGGCTGCTGCCGTGCCCAGCCGAGCGTGGCGGAGCTGCGCCGAGGCAGAGCGGCCCGGCATCTGTCCCTGCCTCGCACGGGGCTTCGCTTTCAAGACCCTGGACAACTCCGCCCGGTCTGGCCGCTCTCAGCCCCCACTCTTGCCCCTCTGCCGCCCTCGGGCTCCTGAGGCTCCCGGAGTGGCAAGCCGCGGGGTGACTGGGACTCTGTCAATCTACAGGCTCTGCATTGCCTCAGCGAAAATCCGTCTCAGTGCCTCCGGGCTTGCTGTGTCCGCACGGCTTTAGTGTGTGCTCTTACCCACAGCTTGAAACCGGGGATACCTATACACAAGAAACACATGGCAGTGGAGTTCTCGGAATTGCCCTATGTGCTCTGTCTCCTGCATACTACTCATAAGTTTCACGTGGATCAGGAGCATGGAGCTTCTCCTCTGTCTTGTGCAGCCCTGAACAGGTTAGTTTGCCTGCCAAATAAGCCGTGGCTAGATACTCACATTTCCTCCACCTCCCCAGCATGTTCTGATAAGCAAACCAAAGGCTGTTTTCAGAATTTTAATTTCCCTATTTTTACTCTGCAGGCTAGTTCTGCAAAGAACCTTATCTGTAATAATAGGACCCACTTCTACACTGAGGTTGCAAAATAGAAGATGTTATCAGGACTGATGTGGCTGCTCCCATCTGCTACCCCAAAAGACAAGGCTTGCAATACCATTGGAATAAAGTCTACTCCTACAGAACCCTACAGAAACAATCCAGGATTCTTTTATGTTTTTCCAGTCCTCTCTTGCTTTCTTTCCCCTTCACCCATACCCACCTCTCAGGGGTAAGTAACTTTCTGGTTGTACCAGTTCATTCAGCTCTGGCAAGCAGGCTGAATGTTGACATTTACAAATATTCCACTGCCTAAAAAACGTCTCCTCATTGCCTACCTTTTGCTGGAAGCAGAGCAGAAGACTATAGTGGAAAGGAACTGCCACGTGTATGCTAAAGATCCAAAGGCCAAGTTTTGGGTTATTGCATCTAACGGTTCCTTTAATGTACATTTTACATCAAGAAATACAGTCCACAATCCTAAATGCAAGCATAGGTTCATGCAGGCTTATTAGAACATACTTTGAGGTGTCAAGATTAAAAGCACTGGCAAGCATTACATTCATTAGTTAGGGTTTGGATGCTCGCTTGAGTGTTATTGTTTTGGTTGAAATGTTATTTTAGAATCCTATAATTTCTACCCAAAATCACTAGTCCAGTTAGGCAGCAGACTGTCTCTGTACTGACAGGACCACAGAAATAATATTATTATTGCCCTAAAAAAAGCCTCAGAAAATGCACCACAAGTGAAAGGAATGGTGTATTTTTCACTTTGTCCTGTTATAAACAGTGTCCTTCCTGGAAGGCTCATTCTTTTAAAACGGAATGAAATGACAAAATGACAGAAAATATAAATGCAAACAGAGGGAATCGGAAAAGGTGTGAATGTCTACAGAGTATGACAGGCAGGGCTTGTCTCCGATTTCCGTGCTGACTAAGTCCTCAGTACTAGAGGGCTCTGGCTGCTTGTTCCGATGAGTCTCTCTCACTCCGAGGACAGACTCCGCAGCAACTGCTGAATTTTCTCTTCTTGTTGTCATTCCTCTCGCACGCCGCATCTCTGGCGCCGAAAGGAAGCTGGGTGAGCAGAGCACGAAGGGGAGCTGGGTGAGCAGAGCACGAAGGGGAGCTGGTTGAGCAGAGCACGAAGGGGAGCTGGTTGAGCAGAGCACGAAGGGGAGCTGGTTGAGCAGGGCCGCCGCTCCCCATCCGCGGCCCGGCCGGAGCCGCCTCCGCCGCCAGGTGTCCCCTGGCAGCCGCGCGGGGGCCGCCCCGGGGCCGCGCTCTCGCTCCGCTTTGCTGAACTCGCCCGCGGAGTGCCTGACCCACCTCGGCTGCGGCTGATTTTCTCCTGCCTGCACCCTCAGTGCAGCTAAAAGGTTCTTTCATAAGCTTGGCTATATTTCATGTGCAAACTTAGGAAGGCGGCAGCACACTGTACTAATAGCTGTAATATTTTGCATGCTAAGAACAATTTTTGCATATACTTACTCTGTTTTCTTTTAAAGACTCGTCTTATAAAGCACTTCGGATGCAAATCAGCTTCCTCCAATATTATTTCGGTGTTTCACCTACTATCCTAAAGAACATTATGCTTCAAAAACCTGACATCTTATCTGTAAGTCATGGCATTTCCTTATCCTCTAAAAAACTGCAACTCAGTCCTTACCGACTGCAGTGGTGAGCTTAACTCCTTCCTGCACTTAGGGTGCATTCACCCCTCTGCACACTGTCCTGTCTAAAGGGGCTCCATCTGGATGTGAGAAATGCTTAGGCAGTCTGCTGTGTGGTGCCTCTGAGGCTGACATCCACCCTTAAAAAACAGACAAACTGTGGTAATGCTTGTGAATTAAAAAAAAAAAAAAGAGTATTTCTCAGCTGACAGAATGTACTTCATGATGGAACTGTGATAACTGACTTACTTAACAGGTCTAAACATTTACAGCCAACACTCTAAATGGTGTTTAGGTTGCATTCCCAAAAATAATCATTACCTGTGTCTTGACAAGATCCAGCACACTGATACATATTAGGGTTTTGCTGTTAGGACAGTCTGGAATCTTGCTGTGATCACTGGTTTTGTTTGGTTTGTTTTTTTGGTTTTTTCTCCTTAATTTATTTTTTAACTTTTTTTTTTTCCCCTCTCTGACTCCTTTTCCTTCTCTCTCACTCTTCTCTCACTCCTCCAGTACCATTCCTTTTGGCTTCCAGGCTACCATCTGTGTACCCTCAGGGAGTCAACAAGAGAAGAACAAGGGCCAGAAACCAGAACACAGGTGAAAAGAGGTAAACAGAAGCTTCTTGTTTCTGTAAAGGAATGTTCAAGCCTCAAAAGCACAAGAGCAAATGGAGCAAGAGGAATCCCTTGCCCAAACTAAAAACTGATAAACCTACAATTGAAATGGATGGAAAAAAAGAGGACACTGACTTTCGATTCAGGTTCTAATTCTTGCAGGATGCATGTATTTACTTGAATTGCCTAGTGAAGGACACTCGCCACAGATTTGGGATAAATCACAGCAGGACAGTTCAGCCTTTGACAATATAGATCCAGAAGGTATTATAATAGCTCAGCTACACAAGTAGCATGCAAGCAGAAATCAAACAGAAGACACCCCACAGACTACATGTTGGGCAGCTCTGATTAAGATGGGTGCCACCTTTTTCCTGCAGTTCTCTTCTCCTGTTCATATTTAACTTCACTTCTCCTGTTGATATTTAACTTCAGAGTACCCAGCTCAGCCACATGTGAAACTAGTCTTCAGACACTGTTAGCACACAAGGAATTGTTCCAACATCGCCTACTAAGTGTTTGTTTCCAGTGACATAAAGACAACTCTAACAAAAAAACTGGACTTCTTCATTCGTTCTTAGGAAAGTGGGTCCAACTGAGATCCTTGGAAGTGGTGTGGGAGGGGGAAAAGACATCCGGTAGCCACATGATGAGGCTTGTTTTGCTGACAGAAGGCAAATAGAAATAGGCAAGCTGAAGAAAGTTTAGGTTTGTTTCCTCAGCCTTGTGCATAAGCCTAGAATCCAGATGAAGTAAGCATGTGCTGAGCACAAGATTTCACTGATACATAAAGATGTCATCTCGCTCACAAATTTTTTTGCTGAGGTTGCTCAGTATTTCCTAATGCAGTTAATAAGGTGAGGTGCTCTATTTGGGAATTCTGGCTAGGTTTTTGGAGCAACTTCAACTCTCTCTGGTCAACCAGAGGAAGGCTGTGAGCAGCAGCAGCAAGGCAGCTCTGGCTTCACAGGCTCCCAGTGATTCACCACGCCATCCACAGGCTGGTCTGAAGGTCAGCGCAGCAGGCAAATCCCCAGACTCCATGTTTCCATAGATCCAGCAGCCCTGGAGCCACACTTGTATAGCCTGGTACATACAAGAACTCCTATTCCAGTAACCACTAAGATTTGGCAGTTTTTTATACCTCAGAATAGGCTGAGTGGATTTTGTTCTTCTAACCCCAAGCTGCCCTTTCATTTGGACATTATATGGGTGAAACCATGTACTCAAACTCTGTAAAGTGCTTATTTTACATGTTGCTGCCAAAGTGCAAGCGGAGTTTACCACAATACTAATATTTCATCCCAGTGGCTTCCCTAAGATACGAGCAATTCAGTGAAACAAAACATCCTCTGTATCCTCTGAAACTAGTTTTGAAAGCTGATGGCAGAAAATACCATTGGTTTTAATTAGCAATATCCTTTTCATGAATTCCCTACTAACCAAAAGAGCATACTATATTTCATCTCACTTCCTTTAGTTTACTTACTACTGCCTCTCTTCTCTGTGGTTTACCAGCAGGAAACCACCAGAGGGGACATATCCAGATAAGATTAAACAACATAATATTATCATCTTTACTATAACCAGGCTGGCAGATTTTTTTGCTAGATGCTGAAATGAGATTCACAGCCATTTTGGCTTCCATTCATTGTGGAAAGAAACCATTCTTATAAGTCCACAATACTTCACTAATTCCTGAACTATTTCACTTGTGACAGGCCATTTTTATTTTATTTTATTTTTCACTGAAATGCACTCCAGACAGAAATCCAGGTTCACCCCAATTGAATGTAATAGGAAGCGGAAGCAGGGTGTCCTGGAAGTGAATGTATCTCCAAAGGTAAGAGTGTTTTAGAGCAAGATAGTTGTGGGCACTGCTCTGCTGAGGAGCTATTGAAAAATCACCAAGTGACTTCTTTCTAGTGGCAGTGGGACAAGAGTGTGCCTGACTCCATACATTTCTACTTCAGCTCACCCCTGAGGGTTTTTCAATGGACACAAAACCTCAAGACTACAGATGAGAAAAAAGAGATGCAGACAGATGCAGGAAAAAAAGATGCTAATCTCATTCTACCTTGGATATTCCCAGTCCGAATTCTTTATGCCTTGTCATGCTGGGTAAAGCATAAACTCCCTGCAGCAGCATGAGTAGAGCTGCATGTGATATTTGCAGCCATTGTATACATCACTTTTCACTGAGACTGGAGCAATATTAACCAATAGCTAACATGGATGGTCACATTTACTTGCAAAATCTCTCAGAGTTTTTTATGGGATCAGTACTCTTCTGCAGTTCTGGAAGAGTGCTGCTGTGGTTTTTATCAGAAACCTTCAGTGTCTTGAAAAGACATCTCTAATCCCTTAGCTGTTTCACAGATACTGAGACCACATTAATTCCCAAGGAATTTCTCCTTCCAGGTAACAGAAAGTTCACCCAGTAAGGGAATCTCATCACTGTAAACAGGTTGCAACATCCAACTGCTGAGGAGGGAGGGGAAAAACTGGAGTAAATTGGCATGACGAGGTGTGTGAATGAAGTCAGCCAGGGAGAAAAGACAGTCTAGGCATCAAAAGACAGGCTGCCTCAGCACATCTCCAGGGCAACTTCTGCTGGCAGCTCTCATAATGTCTGCATCTTAGGTCAAGCAAATTGATAATATACACTAAAATGTCATTATAATTATCACTGAGATCAGTTCTTAATATTACCACTCTTCTTCTTTTTGGGGTTTGTTTTTTGGTTTTTGTTTGTTGTTGTTGTTGGTGGTGGTGGTTGTTTGATTGTTTTGGGTTTTTTGTTTCTTTTTGTTGCTATTAATTTGACAAGCATATCTTCTGGGATTGACATTTTCCAGACTTGGTATTAGCACATGACAAGCCTTGAAACATGAAAGAGAATCAGCAGAGCAATTAAAGCATATAAAGATTATTTTCCACATGGCTGGACCAAAACTTTTGCACTTGATGTAACATCAAAAAAATCTGAAATTAGAAACAAAAAAAAAAATTTAAAAAATACTTAGTTCTTAATAGAAAAATGTTCTGAGCTAATTTTTAAAGAAGTTTAAAGGTTTTGGTATTTCTTTGTTAAATTTTCATTTTAAGATGCTATAATGAGATATAGTAGGCTGGGTTGTTTCTCAAATGGAATAAAAGATTATATATATTTAAACTAGATAGTTCTTTTAATAACTGAGGTAGAGTGAAGAAGAGAAGGCACTATGAAATCACTATTGATCTCACCACACCAAACTAATTTATTTGGGAAAGACTTAAGACGGTGCTGAGAAGTATGGAAAATCCATTGATAGAGAAATTGATCTTTTTTAAGGACATTCTACTTGAAGAAAATTAGTTAATACTTTTTCAATGTTCCATAAAGTCCTAGACTTTAAAGCTCCAAAGGTCCATTTTTGATAATCTGCTCTGACCTCCTGTATATGACATGTCATTGAACTTCTATGAATTAATTTTTGTTTCAGTTATGTGTCTTCTAGAAAAATTTCCAGTCATTATATACATAATGTACACTAAAGGAAAATTCACTGGAGTCCTTGGTACATTGTTTCAATTACTTTCAGTGTTAAAAATGTGTGCTTTATTCCTAGTTTGAACTGTCTACCTTTCAGCTAATGTATCTTGTTATACTTTTGTCCACTATATTGAAAAGTTCATTCACGCTGTGTGCTCAGTGCTGGTACTTACTGACAGTAACTGTGTTACTCCTCAGTCCTTTCTTTTATAAAGGACATAGATACAGCAATGAGAGGTTTCTGCTATGATCTGGTTTTCATTTTCCATAATATGTTTCGTGGTTCTTCTCTGAATTGTTTTCCCTCTGAGCTCGTTCTAAATTCCTGAAATGTAGGAGAATGTAGATGCCATACTGTCAAGAACCCTAGGGAGATGCCTTCTGCAAGCAAGGATCTTTGTTAAGTTTCTATTGAACCATTTCTGTTACTTTCAAATTGTGCCTTTAGAATCTATGCTCCTATTCCATCTCACATCTCCCAGTTCTCATTTTAAAGTATTCCATTTGAAACAGCAGAAAGACAGGAAACAATCATGACTTATTTTGTGGGCCTATTATATAGCATTGTTCTGCTGACCACCATTTGGAATGGTAATACAGAATATTTTAATTCACAGGAGGAATCACAAATCTCAGAGAAGTGATTTGTTTTAGCTCACCAAACTATTTCTAGTGGAATCAAAATGCAAATTCACTTACTTTTGATGGTTCTCACATGGCCCAAAGCTTTATTTAACTCTTTGTCCTTGGTGTCATGTAGGTGATGAAGACTTTCTTGGATCACATACACATGAAACACATTTCACTGGCTAATCTGGCCCACATGAGAGAACCAAAGGTGAATATTCTTGAACATGGGCCTCCTAATAACGTCAGAACTTTTACTTTTGTTCAGTGCTACGACATCCACTGATAGCACTATTTTCTACAGTTTTCTAGCAGAAAACACTTTCTGCCCTTAAAATTCACAAAGGATGCAAACTGAGGATCATAAGAGAATCCATGCTTGCTTTTAATTTGGTGCCAAACACTGCTAGTATCTAACGTACCTACTAGTGGTCTTTGGAGAAGGTACCTGCTTTGCTCACAGCATAAAACAACTGGAAAGAATGATAACTTGGATTTAATTGCTCAAATGCTCGAAGAATCAGGACACACCTTGCACCCACATAGTGTGTCTCCTGGTATTTTTTAATTGATGTGTCTTGTCTTTCATCTACACTACAAGCTGCGGGCTTTTCTTCACAAATTATCTCTTCTTTGTCATCCACAGCTCCATTTTCTTGTTTTGCAGCCTGCTAAATTGGTAACAGTGTAGTAGGAAAGAAAGAGTTTCTGATTCATATATCATGAGTCATCTAACAGTTTGGTGAGGTTTGTTTTTCTGCTATGACTCTGCACCTGGCACTTGGAGTAGTATAACATTACCTTTATGTTTCTTCTGACACTGCATTAAAACTTGTGAATTCATTGAGCACTCTGCTCAGAAATGAACAGGCCACAGAAGAAACCTTGATAATACCTTTTGGCTTCTTTGCGTTTAAGTTGTGATTCAGACCTGATTGTCTGATTGTCAATGACTTATTTGCACTACTCTGGCAGCAAGGCTTGGTGCCCCAGGAGAGCCAGGGCAACGTCAGCATTGCTCAGATGTGTGTTTGCTCTGGGCAGACTCTCTTTGCAGGGGCAGCAACAAGCTTGAGCAGTAGAAATGTGGGGTAGTCAGCCCAAGAGGGAACATTACAGCAGAGCTTTATTGCTCGGTTTGCTGTGTCAGTTTGAGCAGCACTGCTACCCAGGTGGCCATGGTGTGCAAAATGATTCAGCCACTAGGAGACACACACCCTTTGCCAGGCCTGGAAAAGCGGTTTTCTGCGCTGGTTGATCCCATTAGTAGGGCACCACAGGGAAATTATGACAGACACACAAGGC